AGAATGCCAGTGTCCGCGCGGCGTTATTATATGGATGTGAATCCCGGCCGCTGCGTGTAGATGACATGTGTAGCCTTTCGGCCTTTGGCAGTGGTTGTTTGAGAAGGATCGTCTGTGTATGGTGGAAACAGCAAGTACGTAATGTCAGATATCGTGTCTGGAGCAAGACAGGTCTCTCTCTCTGTGAGGTCATTTTACTACGCCAAATGAGGCGAGTTGGTCACGTCCTAGACATACCTAATGAGCGTTTATCAAACCGCGCTCTATTTGCGATCGCAGGGACACAACGGAAGATGCAGCGTGGTCATCATCCATCGTCGGCTCAGTAAGTCTATACAGTGGCTCAGAACGCTCGAGGCAAGAGCGCAAAAGCGGAAGCAATGCACGCAAATTTGTGTGAAATCCCGATTTCAAAAACATTAACCCTTAAAAAAGTCCAAAATAACGTGTGATCGAAGACAAAAAATACCGATGTCCTTTGTTCCGTCTAATTATTGGTTCTGTTTCTAAGTGTAGTACACTACACTTCGTCTTTGAATCTTAACTCCACGGTTTGGAATGGCTCGTTGTCTATCCCTATAGACTGGTGTCAATATATCACCGTATCCTCCATAGGACAGTAACGGAATGTACAAGCATGGCGGCAATCATTTCCGGATTGGCCTGTCATTGCGGCCTCCAGAGGACAGCCACAGGACACCTGCGCCTACAGAGGGACCATGGGCGGCTCGCGCTGCACTGCACATAGCCCCATCCACATACCCCATATCCAGTGTAAATCCGAAGGAATAAGACCGGAAGCCATGTTTCATCACTGGAGCCGGCGCCCACTGCTCTAATTGGGAATCATGCATAGCAGACGTACACAAGGCGGTTTGGCCGTAGCCCGTTCCACACTAGATGCATGGAGTAACCCTTTGATACCGGAACGGCCGTGCACCCTGCCCCCCAGTAACGACCAACTGTCTCTTGGTGTCAGTATAATCGAGGCAGTGGTTTTTGGACAAATAGGCACCTTGTCAACATTCGCATCAAGCGCAGCCACACCGAGGATATTAAACAACCGACATAGAATTTGAGGGAAAGCAAACACGCAAAATCGGCATGGAATATGCAGTAGAATAACAGAACGGAGCAAATCAAATAAAGTGAAATACTTTTTATCCAGATTAAGAAGATAGAGTCTAAGTCGGTGTAATCCAACTGCGGTGAAGAAGCATGATGTAAGCAATATCAACCACAGCAGGATGCCCAGGAAGCTTAAACACATATACCCATTCCACATGTTGAAGGGATTCCTCTCCAGTCCTATCTCAGATGAGAACATTTGTGAACAAAGCTTCGTAACTGATAACTTCTCCCTATGCAGAAACAGTCTTTCGCACCGTAGATTTATTAGTATTATCATTATTTCAACGTCAACATCTTGAGATCCCCCGAGTGAACACTCCATGAGAGAATATAAGACAAAGTATATAATAGGGCAGAACGCCACTTGTCAGAAAGCAGTCTGATAATTCACCGCAGACTATAATGCGATCAATGGTGCTCGAGCACAAAGCACGTACGCAGCTACGCAGTGCCGACGCTTCGCTGCCGTGCAACCACTAACAGCCGCAAGTGGGCTAAGGATATTGCGAGGGTCACCCAGTCCCAACACAGGCTCGAACCCGCGCCCTGGGATTACAAGGCAAGCTTGTGATCCTTAAGGCTACGGAGCCTGCAAACACCCTTCCGAACAAGTATGTGAAGGAGGACGAAGGAATAGACTGAGTCAACTGCACGCTTGAAGTCGAGGAACACATCTACTGTCCGTCTGCGGTACGTGTGAGGCTATTCTAATACCGCCGCAGTTGCCACTATCGGCGAGACGCGGATACCTCTGTCGCTAGCACACTCGCCACGACTGCCCTTCTTACACATCACTATAATCAAATCACCCCAGGATAGTCCATTTCCTCCAGATCCGTTCGAACAGGTGGGTCAGTGCTTTGCAGAGAACCCCATCAATATCCTTAAGTAGCGCGTACGCAAATGAATCCGGACCAGTAACTCGAGAATGATTAAAGGTTGTTATCACATTTCAGACCTCAGCCTCCGATAGAGCCTCGAAACTAACCGAAAGTGTACCGCCCAACGACGGCACCGCGCTGTCTCTTGTGGTCTCGCTGACACCTGGTTTCTTGGGACCAGTTGTGCGGAGCAGCTGAAAGTGCTTGTGATAGTCGCATACTGCTCGAGCCTCCTCCATTAGTTGAGCCCGAATGGTCCACCAGGCTTCTTGTCAGTACGTAGGCACCAGTTTATTGCGCACCTAATAGTCCGTTTGGTTACATTGTGATCAGGGTCAACTAGAAGTTATCATCTGGATTTTAAGAGGTTTACCGGTCTCTCGGATATCCAGTGACTGATGCGGTGACGACTGACAGTACCTCAAGCTGAAGCTCCCGCGTTGTGCATGGCGACCAAAATCCTAATCCACTAAATCTCGATGTCAATAAGGCGTTTGAATACGCTTCCCGGTGAAATTCATGGAAAATCGGCACCGAACCAATGCACGATCAGAATTTACGCGCGTGCTCCAGATAGAGGGACAGTTTAGGATGGAATCACACCACCTGTCAGTTGAAGCAATGTGAGATATGAGTCCACTGTTGGCCAACTACCGGATGACGCCCAACTGCGCCTGAAGCTGTGTTGCTTAGAAACAGTCGAAGCGCAAGGCACAGTTGCAACAGACGTGCGTCATTGTCCGCGCGTCTAAAGTTGGGCCAAAACTTAACACTTACCTGAAGTTCTGAGAATTTCAGACTGCCTATTTGTGCATCCATATACACTGCAACAAGAATATTCGAACAGCAATTTGAAGCAACGTGCTGACCTCGTGGTAAAGAGCGTCCTTGGTAACTTCGGGGCTCCAGTCAGTGGGGAGAATAAGTAGTAATAGCAAGTACCCAGCGTCTAGCACTGCTTTGTGCGCTAACCTTGGTTGAAGTTGTCAAACGGGCAGCAAACAGACGGCTGCTCATGGGAATCCAATAAACCTTGTCGCGACGGTCTAGCAAATGTGGACATAAGGATACAAGATTTTTGGTTAGATGAAGGGAGGATAGCGCTGCAATGTAGCCAGTGTTGTGGCATGGATAGGAGTAATGGCCAATGTGCGCTGAGAACACTCAGATTAGCCATCTCTGATGCCGAATGGCTGCAAAATACGGGACTGACGGGAGCAATGGAAGAATAACGTTCCGGTTTGTGGTCTGGCGTTCGGTAGCAGCTCTTTCGGTACTTCGGTGGAATATGCGCTGAGCTGAAAGACCGCTGCACCAACTAGGCCACTCGTAAGTCTAGTCTACTTAAATTAACATTAGCGTTAATAAATAAATAAATGGGTATATTTCCCGACGAGCGGGATACGTTCTCTTTTGTGGAACGATCATTTGTACAGCGAGTTTCGTTACTAGTACATGTATAAACTGTATTCAATGTGGAAGAGTTATGCAATGTGTTGTTGCGTATATAATAAGTAACATTATTTGACAGTTAATATTGTTATATGTTGTTCGGGCCCGATTCCATGAGCGCGCTCGTGGATTGTTGAAGGTCGAAAAGTTTGAGCACATTTGGCATGGAAAGAAACGTTTTTAAATTAATTTTAAAAATGGACAGGCTCTCGCAGGTCCTCAGTTGCTTACGTCATCCAGAAGAATTTGAAGCGTACATTTTTCTTGGTACTCTGCAAGAATATCAGACATTTCCCATTACGAGTGGTTGAGCCATTATGTAATGCAACGGTCGTACTGGTTGAGAAAACTTGCGAGTATATTATGCTGTAGAGAAAAGTGAGATTGATTTTCAGCCGTCAAAGCCAGAGAGTGGACCGAGCTGGAGGTGAGAATATCGCTCCCATAAATAAAGGATGGTGAGTGCCCCATGAGCATTTTGGTAAATGAGCGCTGGACGTTTTCCAAAGCAATTCTATCTGTTTTACGGAAGTGGCTATATATGATGGTGCAATTCTCTAGAGTGGGACGCACAATGAGCTTGAATGATTCAAGCCGTGTTTGGGATAGGGAAACAGTATTACTGTTTCGGCAACGTCAGTACGGGTAACTGGATCTACTACACCCAGCTGCACGGATCACAGCTGAGCAAATAAAGAGTTCATTTCCTCACATCCGGCTGTCAACTAGATCATCTAACAGGTTAACTTTTACATCTGATCATTATTATTAACATTAATTCAATGCTTATTATAATTATGGTGACATGCGTCAGGGATCTATCGCACTTCAGTACAGATAGTAGTTAACAAATGAACTGAATCAAATTGTACTGTGCAAAGTCAGGGTACTACTAGGCAACCTATTCCAGTACAATAGATCTATTTAAAATGATAACATCTCTGCCTAAGAGCTACAGTGCTTTCTCACAATGTCATCGGGCCATTGTGAACGACCGTGCTAGTAAACTTCTCGCAAGTAATCGTGTAGTAAAAGGAGGAACGGGTCGTGAAGATGTGCGTCTGTCACACTTACAACAGGGGGTAAAGTGATAAATTACGAGAAACGGCAAAGGGGTGCAGTGGTGTTTCGAACGTGCTCCTTGAAATAAGCAAAGAGGGCTATGCAACGGCGTGTTAGGACAACACAGGACCGTTATTGCAGATTGGTAATGAGCACTGTTCAGCAACCCAACTGCAAAGTGGCTACGATACGGTATTTACATGGTGTGTTGTACATTTCAAACAAGAATCTGCTGAAGCAAGAAGTTGCGTTGATTTGATTTCGGCCATCAAGGAATGAGGGTAACTTAAAAAGATCTGGCGGGTAGCGTTCTTTAGATGGAAATGCTGAAAGACAGTAATTAATACCAGCGCTACAACGCAGACAGATGAAGTAAATACATTAAGGCAATATTCATTCTAACATGAATATAAATAAGCCGAAAAATAGTCAGAACATTTGTCGATTTGTATGGAAAAGGCATAACAAACTCACTCGTAGGAAGACACGGCGCATGTTAAAAGCGAATTGGCTTGAATGAGACAAATTTAATGTCTCTAGGTTGGAAATGACCTCATCATCCGATGGCCCTTTGATGTGGTCGTCAAAGTGGATTTGAACGACACCGGACTTGTTGATGATTGACTGGATATTATTCGTTCGTCGACCAATCAAACGCCCGACATATCGACGCGGAACACCCAGATACAACTCAGTGAATTCCAGTTTCGCACGAGCCAATTTCGCTGCTTCCGGAGTCTAAAAAAACCAACCGGGCTACCCGTCATATGGGAGCTCCACGGCAAGTCGCAAGAACATGTATCTGATATAAAAATGTGCAGCAATGAGCGCGGCGTCCCCACTAAGTAATACCAAAAGGAATACTCTAACATGGAGATATGTAAGGCGAAAATATGTCTGTAATGACTCAATAGCCGACCTAATGAGGAGAAACAGTGACCAATAAGCCCCGAAGTAGTAAAGGAACAAAAGAAACCTCAAACAGAATGAAAACTTTGTTAGAAGACAAACATTGAGAAACAAAAAAAACATACACATGATTAAGCGCATACATGGTTGGTGGCATCTCGTTCCGGATTTGCCTGTCACTGCGGCCTCCATGGGGACAGCCATAGGACGCGGACGCCTACAGAGGGACTATGGGTGGCTTGCGCTGCACCACACACAGCTACATCCACACACCCCATATCTAGGGCAAACCCGAAGGAATAAGACCGGGAGGCATGTGGATGTGAGCCACGTTTCATCAACGGAGCCGGCCCACACTCCTTCAACATGCATAGCAGCAGCATTCCTGTCTATCTATGTGGGGAAGTATGTGTACCAGACGTACACAAGGCGTTGGATGGGGCGCATTAAGTGCATACAGTGCATCAGTATATACATACCACCGCAGCCAACTGTGGGAACAGATTTGGGATGGGGTCGACTGACTCAGCACCATGTGAAGGGTTCAAGGGAGGATTGAGGGCAGAAGTATTGATCAAACCATCAAAAGCCGGATAAGAAAGCACCCGAGCCTTTGAGTGCATATTTCCAGATTGGAAACCAAGAGATTTAGTATTGGATCGGACGGTTCAGGTTTCTTGATCATACAATCGGCTGACCAACTCAGGGCTTCATCCGGGGACGCACTACGGACACTAGGGCAGTGTCAACAGGCACGCAGAGAAAGTGATCTCTTAAACATGAGTCCGTTAAACAGTCTGGTGAACTGTCTCACTTGTGATACATGCCAATCTTACGTTTGTAGGACCTGTATTAAAGTTGCGCTCGGATCAGAGAGAAATGAAATAGCAAAATCCTTAAAACCTTCTGACACCACAAAAGCCATTACAAAAGAATAATCGAGATACGATTAGAGCATGAATTGAACGAAGAGAAGCGACAGTGACAAGTCGTGCTTGTCAAGATGAATTAAAGAGCCACAAACTCTAGAGTGGCTAGATTGTGTTCGATGAGTGATTCATGCATAAGCATTGACAGATAGATGACGGGAAGTGCCTTGATGCATGTGAAACTGCTCTTCAAAAATTCGCGTAATTATCGAAAACTCACCTTAGCCTCCACAATGAACAAAGCGGCATCTCCGTGGTCAACGAGATCTACCGTTCGACGGTCATCATCCGATTCCCTCAGACGAACGGATACAACACCGGGAAGCTCACGAGCTGCACGAATGTTACTGCCTTGTCCACCGATTGCTAGACCCATCAATCGCTGTGGAACGTAGAACTTCTCCACAAACAAGGATGGATCGACATCTGAGTCGCCACTGCTTCGGGTGTTCGCTAGATGTGCGTGAGCACCATCAGATCCACGGGCAGCCTGAAGAATGGAAGAACAATTGAGCTGACCGAAGAATGGTGGAGGAAAGCTCAGTTAACTGCATCAGGAGCAGGATATCGAAGTGCGACGAGTGCAAAAGGCACACCGGTGCAATAGAAGAAAGGTAATGAGGCAAAAATATTGAAGATGCCTCAGACTATAGAACGTATAATATGTAAAATGTAACAGGGTAAATGAAAAAAGGCTCTATCGGAAAGCCTAATCCCGAGGCCCCAAAATTCCAAACCTACAGTATTTGAGCAATTCCTTTTGGATTTCTTGTCATCTAAACGGCAGAAGACAGGTGGGCATCCGACGAACATTACCTGATGTAGATGGGCCAAATTTAACAAGAGCACAAGAGCGTTTGTCATCGACATCGAACCAGATGAAAGAGTAGGTCCAACAGTGCAACGGTTTTGTCCAAGCAGGTTGTGATGATCCGAATTCAGCGTGACAGAGTATCGCATACGAGGCAAATTTGGTTGAACAGCAGACACAAACAAGTGCAAATCATTTTAGATTTTACAAAAGGGATCAGTGAAAAAATGACGAATTGATTCATTGAGCTACACACATCACAGTATCACCAAAAGCAGAGGGAGCCAGCTGAAAATACATCTGAAACACAAGTTAGCGAACAAGCTCGTTTTCGGTGGCTCTCGTCAGGCTAAAACACCACAACTGATAGGAATAAGATTGACACGGAACAGCAGATAATGGTTAAGTTCAAAGTTCAAGGTTATCGGAATGAAAACGTTAAGTGGTCAGTTCAGAAGTGGTCGATGACTTGTCAATGGCGTGTTCCTCAGCATGAGTAATTGTGATAGCGGTTCGGGTGCCACCAGAGCCCAGACTCATGTGCTCAAAAACGGTTCGTCCACATTCTAGGTTTACGCTGGCCCGCTATCACAATGACCCATGCTGACGAACACGCCGTTGACAAATTGTTGACCTCATCTGAACGGACCAAACGATTTTCATCCCGATAACCTTGAACTTTGAACTTAACCATTATCTGACGTGTTATGTTAATCTTATTCCTATTGGTTGTGGTGTTTTAGCCCGACAAGAGCCACCGAAAACGAGCTTGCTCGCTAACTTGTGTTTCTGATGTCCACACCTGGATATTTTTCACTTGAAAATATATCTGTCGAGACCATAGATTGCCCACGTTTTCAGTTTTTTTAACTCGAGGACGTAGGCTCATAAACTCAAAAAGAAATGTTAGATGGACTCTCATCAAGTGGAGTACGGAGCAGGAGATAAGATCCAGGAGAGCAACATGGAAGCCTGAGAGCCGTGGTACAGTGTACCTATGACCATGGGAGAAATAAAGCTGACAGATAACAATGTTTAGATATTAGAAATTCACAACAAGGGGACAAATAATACAGCATATCGAGGATTCGAATGCAACTACTGGGGACCCGACAATAAGAAGCATAAGGAAAAAAATTATGAACAGTCACTCAGGATCATAAAGAAATAAAAAGAATGGTGTCATAAATAGATAGATAATATGTCCCGGTTTGCGAAACAGTAGACCAAAACGAGTTGAACAGAGTGGAAACATACTACAACCAATGAAAACCAATTCGGTCGGTGACCGATGGCCACGGGTCCGAATCCGCGTAGGTGCGAGTGATCTCGAGGTATCACTAGCCCGCGCGCAACCGATGGCAGTCTCATGGCAGTGAAGCGCTGGTGCGGCGCATCGGCGTACGGTTGATACCTTTCAATAGCAACCAAAGGTCGCTTGCAACGATATAAGTCGTTCAAGTAATAATGAACAGATGCGGTTGGAGGAAAGTAAACCGAGTAAATACCTTTTAAGCAATTAACGGAGATGAGCAAATATTAATTCGCATTGCTAGCAGAAAGAATAAAAAGGGAAAGGCCCAAGCAGTACGCCAGTAGGCAGAACCGATGTTTTGCTGCCGCGCAACCACCACCAGTCGCACGTGGGATAAGGATACCGCGAGGGTCGCCCGGTCCCTACGCAGACTCGAACCCGCGCCCTCGGATTACAAGACAGGCTTGTGATCCTTAAGAGTACGTAGCGGATTGCTATCACAGATGCACATATACATAAATCTAAGAATACCGCATATGGGAGCGTACGAATTATGAGACAGTTGTGAGACTACACACTGTGGGCATAGACAAGCCGAGTAAGTGTACGGAAAGCGATGCCCAATATGCAACAAGGTTGATGATAAAGAGTACTTCGGTGTCCCTCTAGTAAATGGGAGGTATGGAACAAGGCAATGTGGCTGTTGCGAAGTGACGACTAGAATGAACGTGTGGTGGATAAAACAAGCGCATGTAACTATGCTTGTAAAAATTGATGAATGTGAAACTTGATGAAAAAAGCGAACGAAAAAGAAAGTCGGTTGAGAAAGCAAAGTAGAACTAAGAAAACACATTCGAATCGCCAGAGCGAAAGACTAGGAGTTGGAAGCAAGAGGTTAAATTCTAGACTGCTATTATGTCCTCAACTTTCCACTTCATACCTGTTGTGGTAGACCATCGTATCCTGTTTAATCTAGTAAGCAGAATTACCGCAAAAAATATAAATGTAGCGAGAACGCGTAGTACATAACCCAACAGGTGTGGACGGACCAAATGAAACAGTGCAGCACCAGAAAATTGTCGACAGATAAGGACGGGTGTACTCAAGTACTGTTTATTGCGTTGTACCCCCTAGATAAGAGAGCGGTTTGAAAGTACCCGTGCTAAGACAGATAGTGGCTCTATGCTTCCGAAGTATGGCGACTGTGTCTTTAAATAACGCAACACAAACAGCCACATCTCTGTCCATTATACCGCTGACCAATAAGGCAGTTCCTCACTGTTTACACAATAGGTTGGGGGGAAAAAACCACGATGCTTTGTTGACAGGTTGCCTAAACCCCACAATTTTGATGCAGCAATGCTTAAGGGCTTTTACCGTAGAAATGTGAACCGCAAGACGAAAGGTGTGGTCAGGACAGAATACTCAGCAATCGGTATGGAGTTTGTCGGAACTTAAGAGGTAATTATCCATCGAGTTCTCTATGTCTTCCGATAGGCTAAACGATGGAATTTCCAATCCAAATGAAACTACTGGAGTCGACCTGTCCGTTAGCCTTTCGTTTCATGCAAGAAAGACATCGGCAATATTCGGCATGTCCCAGTAGTGCCCACATCTATGCAAGGGCTGGAACTTGAGTTCGGGAAGTAGAGTTCGTAAGGCTTTTTAAAGACAAGCAGTCCTTTGATAAAGGTGGTCTTTAGGCCGCAAAAACGACTGCAAACGGCAGGCCACATGTGATGGTATTCAGGCAGGCACCGAAAAACAAGGGTGATGTTAGTAACTTCCCTCAGTAGCTAACCAGCCGTTTATAGTAAGAACAGTCGTGACGATAAGGATGGAAATGCATGAATCTTCATGTTTGTTGATAACGTTTAAAGATGGTGTATGAACATAAATCATTCAGATCCTGTGCGAATCTGAGATCAAACGAATTCACCTCCAAAAAACCCACATATTTGAGAAGATGGGAGCACGAGAACCGGTCCACCAGCTGCATGAAAGCTTACTTGAAATGAGGTAACCTAACCCTTGAATTTAGTTTAAAGCAACTTTCATTTAGTTAACATGCTGCTTCACGCATTCGTAGCACGCCGAAACCGTGCGTTGACGTAACCACAACCACGCAGGTATGAGAAATGCGAAGGTCGCTCGCACCTACGCAGATTTGAACAGGCGACTGTAGACTACAAGTCAAAGGTCTGATCGACCCCGCTATTAAGTATTAAAGTAGCGGAGTGAACTGAGGGGACTGAATGCACTAATCTTCAGTCTCCAGGTAACAGCTGTTTAGCCGAACAGTCTGACGCTAACACTTAGAAGTACCATGAGTGCGCTATGTAAGGCAGTGACTGTTAAGCGCTAAGCTAAATATGGCAATGGGCCCAGTGACGGGCTGCTGTGTTGTCAGGGCATGGACCGCAAAAGTTAAATACATCACGATGCGATGCCGAACTGGTTCAAGTGGATGTGATAATGAAACGAAAGCGTTTACACGGACGAAGTACTTACATCCAACGACCGCATAGTCTGTCTCAGACTACGAGTTATCGCCCACTTCTGACGAAGCATTTTCAGATGCGTTTCTTCTAGCAACCCAACGTTTCTGATCGTCTTTTCATCAGTGCTCAAAACGACCAACTTGGATGATTCCGAATCGAAGAACAGGCTTGTCGGTCCGCCGCAGTGCCTCAGGAAATCCGTGTGCACACTGGTGTCCGCAGCACTGGGTAGATTTTAAGGGAGTGGTATTGCGAATTTTTATTATTATACAGTAAACAAATGAACAAAAACCAACGTGCAAAAAGAAACGGGTAAAAACAAACCAAACAGCAATACGGTTGATGCTTAATCACCCTTGCAGCTGGTAACATTGAAGGCAGACTCAATACAAAGAGGCTGGAAGCATTCATGGATAAACCAGTCGGTTAGAATTCGCACTTTGAGATAATTGTCAAACAGGAGAGACAAATGAGAATGTACTCATCGTTGTTGGATATCAGTCGCCTTTACTTGTATAGCCAACAATAGGACCATGCATTGAGTCTATGTTTATCAATAATAATAATAAGAACAACAATAATAATAATAATAATAATGTGTCGTCTGTATGCCGTAACGGCGCTTGGCTGCCACGCGAGCAGCACCAGTCGCGCGTGGGCTGAGTATACTGCGAGGACGCCCACCCCTACGCGGATTCGAGCCGGCGACCTTATGATTGTAAGCCATGCGTGCAGACCACTCGGCCACCTGCCGACGTCCGTTGAACACAAAATACTCAGTCGAAGATTAGAAAAATTGAGAATCCGTGTTAAAGTGAAAAACATTGGTGCTTGGCAAATCGATAACACAGTCAGCAATACCAAATGTATGTTGTAAAGACCCATCCGATTGGTAAAATAATTGCGAATCTGAGAGCCCTAGTCATTCCCACTTGTATCACTTAATGTTGTCGGCTGCGCATTCTAATGCTAGAAACTTTCAGTATTTTCAAGTTATTTACGACAAATTTCTCTTCTGCTCTACCGTTTGTTTCAGTAATCACGGTTGGATGGATACAATTCCCTTCATTGGATATCAAGGGAGCTAATAAACAGAATGGATCCCACGCATTCAGAGTTCAATCGATCAAACATGTCACTGAAAACCGTAAAAGAAACTGTAAAATGGTATTAGAAGCAAGGTAGGCTTGGGTGATACTGATTTTGACAATAAACAAGGGAAAAGCAAACGAAAAAATGTAAACCACCAGAAGTAACAATAAAGCCCAAGATCAACCAGCAGGTACAAAAAGCAGAGAATGATTTATAATGACAAGAAGCGAAAGCAAAAATAGAGAATCCAAAAAGAACCACTAGATGAACTGCGATGCGGCCGACTGACAACAGGAACCTGTCAGTGAGTTGTGACAGACCAGAGAGCACTATTAGTGTACCTAAGCTCAGTGAGCTAAAATATCCGTGGTAGACACGGTAACCAGCCAGTTTGATCCGAAAAGCTTAGTGTTAGGCGGTAATGGTACTCGTAAAGACGGAGGTGTGACGAGTATCGACGCAAGGGGCAGTTACCGGATTATCGCGCATCTGATAAATGGCAACGGTTTTTAGCCTTCAGTCAGGATCAAACATTATATAGATGGGCTTCATTGATAGACTGGACAAAA